TGTACGTCCCAAAAGTCATCCATAGGTCAAAATCCCTTAAAGATAATCTCTGCCAAAAATAAAAAAATACGAAACTTTTAGACTATTTAATGCAAAGAAAAGATGTTGAAATACAGATTTTCAAATGCATACGGGTCATGAGAACATCATCTCACTTTATGGTTCTACGAGCAATGCTAAAAAAATCTAATGGTACATCTCATAGGTCATTCCTTAAATATCATCTCTGCCATAAATAAAAAGAATACGATACTTTTAGACTGTTGAATTGAAAGAAAAGAGCTTGAAATATAGATTTTCGAATGAATATGGGTACTGAGAACATCATCCCACTTTATGGGTCTACAAGTTATATTTCGAAAATCCAACTGTACATCTCATAGATCATCCCTTGTTGTGCTTGACCCTCTGCGAATCCTCCTTCACTTTGGTTCCTACATGGCTGTCACTCCGGTAGTTGCTGGTGAGAGTTTGGCGACGGCGGGCTGCTTCTCCGGGATGGATGTTCCATTTTTTGTCTTTGTTGTCTATTTTCAGTTTTTAGGCTTTCGTTGTTATGGTTTTGGTCCTCCCACTGTTTGTCTTGGGCCGCTTTGTATTTTGCGTTAAAATTTTAATGAACTCTAACTTTTCATCCGAAAGAAAGAAAAAAAAAACCTAAACCTTTGTTTCTTACTTATTTTTTTCCTCTTAATTTTCAATGTAAAAGTATTCTAAAAGCTAGATACTTCCATCCCAAATGTTGGATACGTGTTCCATCAAGCGAAATCAATATTCGTTGATATGCATGTTACATATCTGACAAATATCTGACAAGTATCATGACCAATAGATATCTGATGCGATACAGGACCAAACTAAAATATATGTGCTTCATCGATGCAAGACCTTGAACAACCTCACAACAATGAATGACTTTGAAATTTGAATTCTATGGATGGTTCCCGCTTAAACATTGGCTCATGAAAGTTCTTCCTGGCTTTAAGCAAGAAAAGAAAACTTCTTCCTTTTCAAACAACACTCTTTAGAGGATTGTATTATTAGTTGGCTACGTCAGATTATTAAGAAATGAATAAACACGAACAATAATATTCTAAATTTAGTACTACTGTTTAGGGATATTCTTCTTTATTTATCCCCTCAACTGACCTATAATATTGGCTCCCTTGCAAAACTCGATCAGAATTAAATGATATTGCAAGCATGAAATGTGCCTTAAGCTATCAACATGGTAACTTGTTAAGTACTAGATTTTTTTTGCCATTTAGTACTAGGGTTTAGTGGTATTTCTCTTTACTTGTAAGTGAGAGGTCTTAGGTACGATTCTCGCCAAAGGTAAATATGAATCACATTATTGCTAACACATTGTGAGGTTATGCCAACATTCTCATCTTAGTGTAAATAATATCGTTTGTCAAAAAGTAAAAAATAAAAAAATTAACTACAATCAATATCCAATCATAATCAGCTGGCTTCTTACCCTTTAATCCTTCTATCCTCATCCTTTATGTCTTTTTGCGAATTTGGGTTACATTCTAGACCTCGTGTTACCTTTTTGCGTCCAATCTATCATTGTTATATATATTTTAAGGTATTTATTGGTCCTTTTATATATGGACAAACTTGGAATTAAAAATTTCATCAAAAGTGGATAGAGAGATAAGACACTGACATTTTCTTTTGTTGCAGCAGCCAATTAAGTCAAAAATAAAATCAAAGCATAAATACATTGTTTTTGCCTATCGGTTTTTTTTTAAGAAACGTATTTAATTTTTGCTCCTATTTGTGGATACACATAATAAGTACTATGAGTCTCTTTCAGATACTCTTTTACCATATGCATTAAAAAGGCCCAGATTTAATCTTATCGAAACATAGTGACATCTCCTCCTTTGGCATCTTTTGTGAGTCCAATTTCCATCTTCCGTGGCAAACTTGAAATTACAGGTTTACCCCAACCTTCACCCAACTTCGGTATATATTCTTAACACCTAACAGAACACTACGACAGAACAAAAACTCCCATATTCTAGTCAAATTAGGATTTGACAGGATTTTAAAATTAAAGGGTAATCAATTAGGATTTTAGAAGAGGATTTTAAAAAACTTTGAAATCATGCTGTAGTCAAATTAAGATTTAAGAGAATTTAAAAAATACATCCAAATCCAGAGGTAGTCAAGTGAGAAATTAAAAGACATTTTTAGAATGATTCTAAATCTATCGGCATTCAAAAAATAAAGATTTGATAGGATTCCATGAAGAATTGGATTTTGTTGGATTTGAGAACTTGAAGTGAATATACCCAACACCAAATACAATCCCACCTCATCCCCTAGGATTTCTTTCAAGCTTATGTTTCATGCACCTAAAAATTCAATTGATTCACTCGTCGATGCCCCAAATTGAATTTGAAATAAAACCAATCATTCTTCGAGAAGACAGAAAATGGATAAGAAAATCTACAAATAAAATCCATACAAATTCATAAAAACTCATAGTATAAATCCATATAAATTTGTCAAAATCCATATATAATTATAAGTCCGTTAAATTTTTTTGAAATATGTCACTTAAAAATAGTCTATTAAAATTCTTTAAAATCTAAATTGACTGCATCCTTAAGTTCCTAAGAGTAGTTCCACCGGGGTGAGAAAGGCCAGCACCTAGCCAAAAAACCAGCCCGGCACCCAGTGAAACCACTCCAGCCTCGCATTTTGACCGGCACCCAGCCCAAACTGGTCTCCAGGCTAGCCCAAAATCGACAGAGGCATGAGCCGGCCCGTATGATGCCATGCTGACGCTAGCGTGATGTTGTGTGCCTTTTTTGATTTTTTTTTTCTGCAATCTCGACCTCCATCACTCTCCGTCGCGCCTCCAACGCCTCCCGATCCCTGGAACCCCATCTGATACACCCATATGCCTTCTTCATCTACACCCCATCTCAAATCCCTCCTTCCTCTTCCCGATTTCCACTCCGCCAATCCTGGGGCTCCGGTTGCTCCGCGCAGAGATAGATCTCTCTGATTCGAGGAATAAGAAGAAAAACCTACTGGTCTTTCGATCCAAATGAAATTAGGTGCATAATCAACTTCCTCATTTGAAGAAGAAAACATGGAGAAAAAGGGGAGAAAAAAAGAGTGGGGAAAGAGACGTTGGTCGGAGAAATAAGGGGAGAAGGGACCAGAGAAGGAATGGAAGCAGTGGGAAGAAAACAAAAATGCTAGACCTTTCGAGAGAAAGGGAGAAAAAAGAACAAATAAATTAAATGATAAAATATTAATTGATATGAATAAAATAATATAATATTAGATGGGCTGGGTGCTAGCGGATTTTTAGGGATGGAGATGCATTTGGCTTATTACTGTTTATTGGGTCTATCACTGTTCACGGAGTGGATAAATGTGTGCTGAAGCATTTGTGTTAGGAGTGGAACTGCTCTAACAGAACGTTTCTAAGTTCTTTACCCGAACTCCCATTTCCGTCGACCTTCATCCCTCCTCCAAATTCCTCTGGTCATCCTCGTTTCCCAAACTCCATTTCCGTCAAGCAAAACAATATATCCGGCAAACCCATCAACGGCACCACCACAACCAGCAGCAGCAGCAGCAAGCCAGCTTGGTCGCTCGGCTGATCCATTCAGCTATCACCGAGAAGCTCAAACCACACCCTCACCCCGTCCCGAGGAGGAGGGACTGCAGCCGCTTGATGTGGAAATTATTTCTCATCTGGGGGCTGATGGGCGGATACACAGCCTGCACCGCAGCTGACCCGACGAGTGGTGCAAATGTCTGATATGCCACGGACTGTACGAGTCGGCACATGTCTTCTCGGCTCACACCGGCGTTCACTACAGGGTCCTGAGCACTGCAGCGAACTCATTAAGACTCCGTCAGAAGCACGATAAGGAGCTTCAAAATAACAAACTCCAGCTCCTGGAATTTGACAAGGGCAGCGTTGCAGCTGTGGTGCGGTGGTGCCTGTTAATCCTACAAGCACCGTGGCAAAGAAGAGAGGGCGGAAGAGGAAGATCAATCTTCCTGATGATGCGGCTGCAGAGCTCTGTGGAGTAGCGGATCACCAGAATGGAACCGATCTGGTGGTTGGTCGGCATGATCACGAGGCGAATACTTCCGGCCACCAATGCCACGAGTCGGTGAGAGCTAAGAAAAAGAGAGCTCGGGCATTGGGTGTTGGTGGTGTTGCTGATCCACCGTACGGATGGGTGCATGACCATGTGATGTCGTCTGATGATCACCAGAACCAAACCGCTGCGGTGGTGGCTCCTCAAGAGCACTCAGGCTATGTTCGTCAAGTTAATTTGTAACAAAACTGACGCGCCATATTCACCGTTGTATAGAAGTTTTAGTGTAATTTAAATTGTCGATAATGCATACTGTTTGTGTAGAAATGAACTGATTTATAATAAAATTGGCGCGCAACATTGATATATTGAAAGTTCGGTATAATTTAAATAGTTAGTGCAATGATCGTTATAATTTAAATTGTCGGTATTGTAGACTGTTAGTTTAGTAATATTGGTGCGCTACTCAAACCATTATTTACCACTCGACCATAATTACCTTTCGAACGATATATCATTAAGTACCAAACTATTATTAACTTCCACGTAGCATTTTCTTTGTTAGGGCTAAATAATCATTTCAATTAAGATGAACTTGCATTCTTCTTCCAATAATATAATATCGAATTTCCTTAAAACAACGAAAAAAGCACAGTGAGATTTGTCAATTTTTTGTTAATTTTAGTCAGTTTGTATCTCTCTTTTTTTAGTTTCACTCCAGAAAAAATTCTAAAATTTAACTAAAGATGTTTAAAGAACACAGCATATATCCAAAGACACATTTATCGATCGATTTTTGTTCTTAATTAACCCTTAAAATATACAATTCACAAGTACAAACTTGCTTTGGATGACCAGAAGTTACAATTAAGTTTATATAACAAAACATTTATATGCAAAAATTTCTTGTACCAGAAGTTACAATACATCACTCGCTACAGCAGTCTAAAAATTCCTGGCCAAATCAAGACTTAAGGAAAGCTTCAGATTTGCTCCAAGAAAACGTAAACACCTGCACAATTGTGAAAATTACAGAGGAATAATACCGGTAAACGTCTTTCGTGCTAGATTAATGATTTTCTTCAGAAATAATGTCATGTAATAGTTTTGCACTCCAAGTTACTTCAGCAAGGTTTTCTAGAGGAACTGCAATGTCTTCTGTGTTTTCTCTTAAAAGCACCCTGCATTCTGCAACAAACAAGGAAAAATAGTAAATAAAACTTAGCATCCACGCATTAGTAAAATCATAGAAACTCAATTGTGCACGTCCGTCTGATAATGCACCGCTGAGATCCTTTTGAGTTCACAAATGGAAACTTTGTAGGTTGAATATAATGTTAAACGCCGTCTGTTATTCATTTGTTATGTAAAATGTAGGGAAAATACGTTTGTGCTGAAGTTGCTAACCGGATATTTTGCTGAAGTTGAGCATGGACATTGAAGCAAGGATCTTCTGCTCAACCAGCTCGCTGGTCTTCAGACATTGTTTTAGTGGAAAAATGAGAGATGAGAAGGCGGATAGCTGAAACTCAGAACCAGACAATGAAGAAAGTGCGCGGCTCAACCATTCCACGGTGATTAGGCACATTCTAATCAATTCCAAGTTTTCGGATCCTAAACACTTTGAAAGGGTTTCTACAAAAGACTTCTTTCCATAACCGAGTAGTGACACTGTCAAGTTCCTCAACCAATCTTCACTGGAATTTTCTCCCTCATCCTATATATTGCAGCATTAACACATTTGATAATAAATTTTCAGTTTCTTGTCACTCAATTTAGAAGGAAAAATGAACACAATAAATTATTTTTGGAGATGCTAGAGATATAAGTGAGTATGGGGATAAAAATGTACCAATGGAGACATGTCATCAGCTAGTGAAATGTCTTCTTCGTTGTCGAGTGAATTCACTTCAGAATTGCCACTACAATCTTCTTGCTTTAAGATCCAACTTTGTGATGATTTTCTGGAGCAAGAGAAAAACCTTCCCAAGATAAGAAGTGCAGTGCAACAATTCTTCTGGACGTTCTCATCAGTTAGGCTGCAATCAAGAGCCTCTGTAATGGCGTCGACAGCTTCTTCTCTATGTAATGGCATTGACAACTTCCTCTCTACCTGTAAAGCATGGGTGTCTTAGCCAAACATACATTTTGATCATGCAGAATCAAGATGGAGACGTTTTCTTCTAACAACGGAAATGGAATTTCAAAATATTACTGAATCATCAAATGTAAAGTACCAATCAAATACAGATAAGCCACCACCGGCAACCAAAACAGATTTTTTTTTATAATTTTTTTATTTAAATGAAGTTATTCACCTCCAACCCAGCAGCAACCAGTTCTTTTGAACTGCGCATCCGTAGAACATATGAATACAGATACATTATACAGAATTTACATGAGCAACAATCACTAAATTTCTAACGTTACCAGCATTCACAACATTAAGCATGTAGGAATACTATTTCTACAAATCAGAAACTACAATTCACCAAGTAAAAAGAAATCAAGTTGTCGAAAATTCTCTTTTCATACAGCATAGATGCCTTTCGTTTTAATTTTAGGTGGCATCGCTGATGCAAGAAACGGTCGAGCAAAGTAGCATGGCATCAAGAATAAAGGAAGATATTTTGGACGGAACCATTAAAAGTTTCTGTAAACTCTTAAATTTATGCTTAATGAGTATACCAGAAGATCTACGTGCAACAAAAGCACGGCAACCAGGGGTCTGTGGTTTGCTGGAGAACTCTGGAGACACGCAAGCAGAACATCCATTGTATCCACCATCCCCTCAATCTGCAAGCCACTGAGAAATGTTGTGACGTCTTTCTTCCTGCAATGGGAAAGAAAACAACATGGAATTAGTGATGAAAAATAGGTAACATTTATACGGTTATACGGTCCCTCATTTTTCAATAGACATTTATCATTTGCTTCAAGAAGAAAAATAGGTAACGTATAAATTGTTTCTACATAACCCTATAACAGTATGTTTATGCACATTTCCGGAGGCAAGGTTCTCACGGGGACATAGAGTTGATGATGAATCACTCACACGCACGATCAATGAAGATAAAAAAGACGATATGATGGGGAATGTTGACAGGCTCATTAAGTAGTGCAACTCCCATGGAACTTTTTTCACGAATAAGTAAACTTTACGCACCTCTTGAGGCAAATCAATTCCGTCAACAACAACACTGCATTTGTTCTTATTTTAAATTGCTGGCTTTGGAGCATCTCCATAACATACTGTTTGTTAATGTCTCTTGCTATTTGATTCCTACAATCTGCATCTGCTTCTATGCAACACAACAGTAATGCTGCCGCACGCGATTTCTCTTCAACTTTTCCGTAATGAAACCGCTGAAGAAGAAACTGCAAGCCTCCAAGAGAGATCAGGTGCTTGGCATTTTCTGTCCTTTCGTCATTACTGAAACAAGTGAGAAGCTGCTCTAGTACGGAAATAGCAGTCTCGTCGCAGTGACTGGACACATCTCTCACCAAGGTCCCCACTACATGAGAGGCAAAAGCTAAGAGTTTCCGACAATGTTCAGATTTCCAACTACGAATCACACGCTTTAAGATAGAGTTAGGAAGAGGCAACACTAGACATTCCAAAGCTTTTCCTGTCACCGGACATGTTCTGTTTCCCTGATCAAGCCACGTCTTGATGGCCAAACGCTCAAAGGTTTGACCCGTCTCTAGGGTCACTGGATCATCAAACAACCGTCCATTTAGAGGGCAAATGAAGTCCTGAGGAATGCCCGAGAAAGTGACTCCTTCTTCAAAATAATTTCCATGTAAATCTGTGCCAAGGAAATGTAAATATGAGCAACAGATCCAGATGTGCACTACCAAACTATATAAAACCTCAGACGTTCCTTTTGACTCACCATCGAACGAAGACCTTGCTTTGATTGGCTGCACAAGAAGAGAAAAAACATAAGTATCATAAACTAGAACTGACATTTTACAAAGTTAAAGATTTTAGAGAGGGTGCAGTACGTTTACAATAGAACTGGCAATCGAAGGTTCACTGAAATTCGATATAGTAGATAAATTGTGATCGCGGGAATCCTCCATGGGCTTCTGTTCAAAAACGGAGTTTACATGGATTTTGAGGGTGAGCTTATTCTCCTGTGCATGCAGCATATGGGGGCTTTCTGAGTTTTCTCCAGACATGTTACCGAACTGATGATTTAGGTTGCCTTCTGGCAGATCATTCACTCCAAGATAACCCCATTTTTGCTCTTCTGTCGTGATGAGTCCATTTTCCTTCAAAAATGTTTTAGAGCATGACAATGACACCTAGCAGAACAACGAAAATCTCATATCAATTTGTATGCCATACAACAAATAACCAGATACAATATCAAAGCTTGATAAAAGCTTGCAAAGATGCTAACTGTATTCTGTACAATACTTCGTGTTTGTGTGATAAACTATTATGTTGAATCAAATTGCAAATAAAAACTTAATTGCAGTAAACCAGTGCTAATTACTAAAGAAGCTATTCATAAGATTGTCCCAGCATAGAATACAAAAACGTCTATTGAATCTAGATATTGCTAGATGTGCTCAGAAAAAGAATTAATTAACAAAAAAGTCACTTACAGAAAGGGATCCATCTCCCGGCGCACTCTTAGAGTAATCATCTTCAGTGTCGTGGTACTGATATTGAACTGTTTCGGCAGAGTCCTGAGTTATTTGTTTCACAACAAATGAACCATCAGAACTTCTCGTAAAAGTATCCAAGTTTTCCATCTCTCCGTCATCCTCGGTATCATTAGGATCAGGTTTACTTGCACGGCTAAACACAGAATCGTATAGTTTTTTGCTGACCATTAGCTGTGGACCGCCTGGACTACCAGCTTCCGAAGAATGACTTTCAGAACTTCCCTGCTGAGCTTCCTGAAGAGATATTACAGTTGGGATATGGATAGCAGGAGTGGGAGGAGATTCAACTCCTTCGGTGAGCCAGTCCTTATAGTAAACGGCAAATTGGTAAGTCCCAGAATCCAACATTTCATTGTACATTTTTCCTAAAAGCTTCAGCTTCCTCGGCTTGTTTTGTCTATCCGCTATTGAATCAGCTTCCTGATCATACCACGTCTTTAAATGTGTCAAATGTGGAAGAAATAGTCGATCCCATAATTCAGGCAACAATGTCATTCGTGCGTGAAAGGGCGTATCACAAAAAACTTGCAAAAGATGCTTTGCTGATACACGGTCTTTCTTCAGTAACTTGTACACCACACTGAGATAGAGATGAGCACAGGCTGACAGTTTGTAATTAGGAACTCCGGCTGTCAATCCATCTGTCAAATCGGCATTGTTCAACCCGGTTATAACACTAAACTGCAATGAAGCTCGTTTTAAATCCCATTCGCTTGCTGACTCCTCTGTAGCCTTTTCCACTGTTTCGATTGCCTGTTCAAATCTGGCAATGATTCTGCTCTCGGCATTCCCTTCTTCCGGATCAACAAAGTTTAGGAAGGAGATACATTTGTCTCTGAGTTCATGCCGGAAATTCTCATCTTTGAGAAACTGCTTAATGCATCCACTCAGAATGGAAACAATGGCTTGGATAGCAATTTCATCAAGAGCAGGTTCAGGAACTCCCTGTAAAACTTTATCACGCTTTTGTCTGCGAACATCTTCCGAAGTTTTGTCATATGATGAATCTCTCCTTGATCTGTCATGTGAGGCCTCTGGCAGTTTCCTGCTTTGTCTATTGCTGTCGCTAAAACTCGTACGTCCAGGAACATATTTGTTTGAACTGTGGCCATTCCTCCTATCAAACTCCATGTCCTTCTTTGACCTCTCTTCAAGTCCATCGTCTTCCATACTTCCGATCAAATACTTATCCTTTCTTTTTTCTGAGCTATACAATTCGTTCGAATATATATCCTTGTATCTCTCAAAATCTTCACCTTCAACCTCAACTATCTCATTTCGTGGCAGACTCCGCGGAAAAATTCTATTCAAACTTCTAGCTTCCCTCAACCTAGTAGCACCTGTTTCTCTGAGTCCATCCCTAACTTCTTTCTTTGATCCTCCATCAACGGATGGTCTCCTACCTGCAACACCATCACCCGTTGGAAGATCATTATTCACAGCAAACCGAGACACATCAGACCTTGTTTTCTCTGTCCTAATTCTATCCCCTGACATGGAACGTCTCTTGTGTGGATCCGAATTAGCCAAATGACGCGTAGTTGAACCTGAGTGGAAGGAGGAAGCCTTTGATTTGCTCAACAATTTTTTCCCCTAAATCCAGTCTTCTGCTAAAAGATCCTGCAAAGACGACGCCATTTGTGTTTGTGCTGAACTGCTGATACCAAATCCTTTCCTTGCACTGAATCATATGCAAAGAACGAAAAACCAAGTTTAATAGTAGAAGCTGAATTTTAGATGCAAAACCATGTAATAAAATACAAGCAAGTTAAAAGCAGTGCACACTATACTACAAGAAAGCACAAAAGCACAGTATCCTCTTCAAATTTCCTCTGAATTGGATGTAAATTTTGATCAATGGGTTGCTACAAATAATTCGAAACATATGTAGAACAAACTATGATCTCGTTCGTATAGTCGTGTAAACTATGTTTGTTTCTTAAATCCTACAGATCACAACGCAAGTTAAAAATCTTTTTCTTCAAATAATGGTGAAAAATGAACAGTAATTAAGAGGCTATTCATCCAATGGGATCGAATTTCGTTTCGTAAAAGATAGAAAACTTGTTAGGCTGGGATTCATTAAGCTTGAAGACATGATTCAATTTCCTTCACTCAGAAACCATAAAAATTGGAATATAAATTGAACCCAAGACAAAAATAAAGCATTATTTGGAAGCAATAATCTAATTTACAGAAATTTTCCTCCCATCAGGAATCAGAATGGATATTTGCACTCGTAAACTACGACAGGAAAATTGATGCAGTCGACGAAAATGACTAGTACTGCAACGCGGACTATAAGTTTATAATTCAAGGACCGTTGCCACAATTAAGCCCATTAAACTTACATTCCGTCCCACAACACAGAGCCTCGTACTCAAAGGCACAAGACTTTCCCGCCCTCATGAACCAAAACTGGATATCTGGAATCATAAACTATGAAAGTAATCAAATTGTGAACACATTCGTGTTTTCGGTCAGTCCAAAAGCACAATCAGCTTCGTGCAACGATATGCTTATCAAATGGGCCCTTATATATTCTAGTACAAGGACATTTGAATCATAAACTTGCAACATCAGGCAAATTGTAAACAGATGGAGGTGGATTGTGGTAAGATTTTAAGAAAAACCATAACAGAAACTGTGCAACTTAAAACCATGTGATATGCATAAAAGTTAAAACGCAAAACTCGTCAACTCCCTTTACTAACCATTTAAACGCCAAAAAGCGCGTAAAGCCTAGTGGAAGCGAAATAATTATCAAACGGACCATCATAAATTCTGTAAAGACATAATTTTTCTCACCTCAAAGCTCTTTTCGGCGAACTCAGGGCAATCCCGAAACTTCAGGCAAAACCCAGTTGCTGAAATGCCAAATAGCACATTAACTATTGAATGCCTGCAACTCAAAACTCCTGTCAGTTGGCAACTGGCACAGGAGGAATACAATCCAAGAAGAAGAAAAAGGTATGGTTTTCAATGTTTGACGAGGAAGGCGAAGGGTATGGAGGGAATCTGAAGAAGGAAGAGGGAGGAGGGAATGAAAGAGATGCTGGTTAAAGAAAAACTAGGACTGCAAGACAGAGTAAAAAACAAAAAGAAAAGGAGAGAAGAAAGTGATGGAGAATTAGAGCAATATACAACGAGGCAATCAATCAGAGGAGGCTGACATATGGAAGCTGACAGATATGAGAGAGAGAGAGAGAGAGAGAGAGAGAGAGAGAGAGAGAGGGAGAGAGGGAGAGAGTATGAGGTGTGTGTGTTGTGACTCTTTCAACACAACCATGTATCTGCAGGCTAACTGATGTTTTCAAACTCTTTCAACTGCCGCCCTCTTGTACTTAGTCACTTATTGATCATTGGTTTCAATCAACATCTACACAAAAAAAAGTACATGGAGTTTGTGACTCATCAAGGACATTTATTCTTGCCTTCGAAATTCTATGTTCGATTTTGCTCGCAGGTCTTCTTTAAGCAATAACCGAGTGTAGATAGAAACTTCAGACATCTTTTAGAGTTAAGAAGAGAAATATCTTTTATACTAAAAACTAATATGTTTGGACTTGAAATGACCAAGTTAATCCCAATAACTTGTATTTTCTTTCAATAATCTTTGCTTAGTCTAATAGTGGATTTAATTGAGTTGAGAATCACGGCAACAGGTTGAAACAAGTGATTGAATATACGGTTGTTTCGCTCCCTCCATATGTAATACACGATAACAAAAAAGACATAACTTCAACACTATCGACGATAGGGACCTTAGCCGAAGGATGTCAGCAGGTCTACTGTCCCCAAAATAGTGTCCCTTATGTGTCTCCTCCTTCATTTTTTTTTTTTTTTGACACATGTCACCACTTAAACTCAAATTTATTAAAAATTAACAGACATTAAGTAGTACGACATATGTCAAAAAATAAAAAAAGAGACATAAAGGAGACACCATTTTAGAGGACATTAGATTATGGACTCAAGGGTCACCGCACTTGAGCAACACCGAAAAACAAAAGACGTGCTCTTAAAACCCAACCCAGTGAATTTGAACTGGGCTTCCTTTTCATCTCTCAATCCATAAGAAGGGACCCTTGGGCTAAAGTTTCCACGAGGCCCATAGCAAAAACCTTCCACATCTGAAGATGGAACAAAAAAATTATATAAACCTTGGACCCACCAAAAATCTAAAACAATTTTACATGTTACATCGTACGGAAGCAGATCCTTTCCGGACTAACACCTCCGAGCCTACCAATCAAATAATTCTGATCTTTAAAATTTGATCTGTGGCAAAAAATTATTGTAGCTTTCAAAAACAGTAATAATTTTGACCTCATGATTAAATTAAGGAGTAGAATTATTTGATCCTAGACTCCGAATGTGTAAATCAGGAAAGGATCTGCTCTCACAGAACTGGATCCCCTCTGAACTTAAAGGAACTGAGCTCACTTATCAAATGATTCGGGCCAGTTAAGTTTGATCAAACGGTTACAAATAAGAGTTTTTAAGAGTTATAATAATTATAACCGTTGAATCAAATTTCAATGGTTTAAATCATTTGATTATTAGATTCAGTTTTTTTGAATTCGAAAGGGATCCAATTCCTACTCCCACATCGTACTACTTATATATATTTCATTATCCATGTGACGTGGACCATACCAAAAAGTGTACTTATTTTCCTAATTAAACACAGAATAATAATTTTCTTTTCTTTAATATTTTGTGGTCAAATAATTAATACTTTTTTTCTTTTTCCACCGCTTTTCAAACTTGCTGAGTAAGTTCAATCGCTCATTGGTCGTTCCGGGTCCGCTGCGGAGAGCGGTCTCCATCCCCTCGCAGATCGTGTCATTTGTCAGTCACGGTCGCTGGTGCGGTCCCGCGCTGCTAAATTCGGCACTAGAGACAAAAAACATACCGACATTTCATCTCATATCCCATTACAATTTGACTGTGTCAAAAAGTCCTAATTGACCTTACGCCTTTCCTATTTGGTATGAATTTTTTTTTCTTTTCAGCACATTCATATTTTTATATTAAAAGATAAGAAGTTCGGTTAAATTGCATAATAAGTAACTTAATTTGGTATTGAATTTATCATTTACGAGAATCGAACTTAAAAATTTTTATTTTCAAGTTAAAAAAAAAAATATTACTAGATTAAGTCAATAACTCTTATTTAATGTGATTTGATAAGGCAGAAAAGCAGTGGAGTAAAATCTGAACGGATGACCAAAATTACCTGTTCAGGCTTTGAAAGGGCTGCTTTTTTACTCGATTACAAATTTGACCCCCGAAGAAGCGCAGAGGAGTAAATATCCAAGGGTATAGCGGTAATTCTGAACCTACAAGATGGCACGACGCAAGGGCCATGCATTTGGGCCCACAAGTGGAAAAAGTAGGGAATTTTTCACTCTCCTCTCTCTAGGATTAGAGCACTACAGCAGCAGTGGGAGAGTATCACTACTACTGTCCTCTAACCTTATGCTTTCCCTTCGTTTATAGCTTGCCGTTTCTCTCTCTCTCTCTCTCTCTCTGCTTTGCCGTTTCTCTCTCCTAGGGTTTCTCCTCCGCTGGAAACCCTCACTGTAAAGCACTCGTCTTTCTGCTGCTTCTGTAAAGCTCTCTCCTTTCCCACATTGTGTTTCCACTCACATTCTCCCTTTTTTTCCTTAGTTTTTTTCAATTTTTTAAAATAATTATTAGCATTTAATCTCTCTCTCGCATGTTTCAGATGCCGGATTTCAAAGCTTAGCTTCTCTGCTCCGCCGGTAATCGCTTTCTCTTTATTTATTAATTTATTCGAGTTTTAAGCTTTATTTTTCTATTTTTAGTTCAAAATTTGATTTATTATTGCTTTTGGATTTTTTTTTATTGAAATTTTGTGTTTTTAGTAGGAAATAGGAAGAACCGGTAGTGTGATTGAGCTCTGAGGTTTTGATAGGAAGTGAAGGAGAATGGCGTCGTCGTCGAGAGGGGGTGGTTCGGATCAGCCACCTCAGCAGCCACTGCAGAGGCGGATAACTCGAACACAGACCGCCGGGAACATCGGGGAGACGGCTTTCGACAGTGAGATCGTGCCGTCGTCCCTTGTCGAAATCGCCCCCATTCTTCGTGTTGCCAATGAAGTCGAAACCAACAATCCTAGAGTTGCTTATCTCTGTAAGTTTTCACGGCGGTAACTTTTTACTTGCAAGTGTTTGTTAGTGAGTTGCTTGTTTGGAATTGCATTGAATTAATGAGCATTAAGAATTTATTTGCATCTGGGTCTGTTTCTTTATATGCATTTCGGAGATTATTTGAATTTTTGTATGCAGTTGGTACTTGGTACCTATGTCAAAGAAATTAGCGTTATGTTTTCGCTTGCTCATGTATGCATTTTGTGCTCGGTTTAATTGCACATGTACATGCGGTTGCTTCTGTGTTTTTCCCATCTAATATTTTCGAATAGAAGGATTCATCCATGTATTGATGATTTGGAGTTTGTCTACTTATGTTAGAAGTCTGTTATATTTTTCAGAAATTATTTCTTTGCATGTTATACGGGCATGAGTTGAGTTATGTTGTCTGATATGTGGTTCATTGTCTCACTAAAGGAAAGGATTTATAGTAACTCGCCTTTTCTTACTCCCATTGTGGCAATTAGAAATCGGTCTGAGAAACAAGGGCTCACTGATAAATTGATAATATTGTGGTTCTTTCTCGATATACACCACCTTTGAATTATTCCACTAAGACAATCTTGTTTCTTTCATTTAAATGTTCCGGGTCTTGTTCTCACTTCTCATTTCATCTAAATT